ACGAAGTGTAAGAAGTGGACTTGACTGTCAGGAGCATTGGTCGTTTTTTAAAAAAATCAAATCTGGATGAATGGACAGTGCTGTTCAAAAGTCTTAGGCAGGTTTTTTTTTTTTTTAAATTTTGTTTAATTTTACTTGATCTTGATTCACGGATCCGTAGGTCGGTGATCGGAAATCCACATTTATTTCCAATTATTTCGCCCCAAGCTCCCAGTAACTGTGGGAAAGTTGTTTGGAACGACGATCCTAATGTTTAATTTCCAGTGCGTTTTTTAATTCTTAATTTTTTTTTATATATATTTTCTATTTCAGATATAACTTTTCCAGAGCTTTTGCAAAGGCCTGTCGTGCTACATTAGCATCCTGCTACAAGCTAACCTATGCCAATGTTGCCCAAACTTTTTTTGTTTTGGGGACATCCGCGACCCAAGTCAATAGACATTATTCGTAATTCGTCAAAAAAAAAAAAAAAAAAACTTCTTGCGACCCACCTGAGGGTCGCGACCCAGTCTTTGGGAAACAATGACCTAAGCTAACAAATTCCTACTTTAGGAATGTGTGCGGTTTGTAGGAAAACGTTCATTTTAAATTTAATATCTGGCTGTCAAATGAAGGAAACTCAACAAAAATTATTTACTTTTTATTATTTCCGACAACTCCAGTAATGACCTGAGCTTCATCGTGTATACAAAAGGTCAAAGTTCATTTCTTACATTTAGCCTGGTTGTTTTAGTTTCTGTTTTTGGTCCTTTTTGTTGTCAGTCTTCCCAGCTGGTGTCACAGTGATCGGTTTGTCTGTGACGGTCACAGTATTTATCCAGGAATAGAGTCTAATGAACCGTCAACGGCGCTGCACATGGAGCTTGTTTAACCTTAACCATTAAGTTACTGCATTTCTGTCCCTTTTATATACAAAACACCGGTCTATTAAGAAACTTTTTTTTTTTATTGTGTTTTTTTTTCCGTGTGTGTGTGTGTGTTGCAGCTAGAGGTGAAGGTGCAGCAGGGAGAGAGAGACTTTGAACAAATCTCCAAGACCATTCGTAAAGAAGTCAGTAGGTTTGAGGTGAGGAATTTTCAGAATTTTAATCTTTATTTTTTAAACTTATATATATATATATGTATATGTGTATATACTGTATGTATGTATATATGTATATGTACGTATATGTATGTATATGTATATATATGTATGTGTATATGAATATATGTATGTATATATGTATGTTTATATGTATGTATATGTATATATCTACGTATATGTATATATGTATATGTATGTATGTGCATATATGTATATGTATATATGTATATATGTATATGTATGTGTATGTATATATGTGTATATATGTATATACACACATACATATGCATATATATTTTTATATATGTACATATATACATGTATTTATATATACATATTTAGATATGTACATATATATATATATATATGTATATTTTATAACTCCAATGTTTTTCCTTTAATTTGTTTTTGTCAACAGAAAGAGAGAGTAAAAGACTTTAAAACAATCATTGTTAAATACCTGGAATCCCTGGTTCAGTCACAACAGCAGGTAATAAAAAGGAATTATTGTTGTTTTTGTTGTTGTTTAAAGTTTGATATTTCATTTTGATTGAAAAAATATCTTTTGTAAGTGAATGAGTCAAAAGATGATTAAAATAAATAAAAAGTAAGATTCTAATCCATTACATTACTGATGTGTGTTTTGATTTAATGATTTTTGATTAAATTAATTTTATGATAATTTGCATGAACACATTATATATTAAACAACGCGTCTGAAAAAAACCTAAATACCTCACAGATTCTAATGTGAAAGGAATTTTAAATATATTTTTTGCACAGAGAGATCAAATATTTTGTGTGGCTACCACAACCAAAGAAAAATACAAATTTTAATATATATTTCACCCATTCTCTTGCAGATGATAAAATACTGGGAGGCTTTCTTACCTGAGGCCAAGGCCATCTCATAGACTTGGCAACACACTGTAACAACAGACAGTTCTGACTGGCTCTGCTCAAACTACACTACCCACAATGCACCCCGTCCTTCTCGGCCTCCCTTCCTCCCCCCCTGCTAAGTGAAGAAGAGGCTGCTCAACGCGACATTTCTGGGGAGAAATTAATATTTTGATTTTTTTTTTTTTTTTACACTCTTAAATCTGAATGTATTCTGTTGATCTGTGCCGTGTTTCTGTCCCGTCATCTGTTGTTTTCAGTTCGACACGATCAGGTTTGATTAACGTTCACTGTCGTAGCATTAGCTGGTCACTCCTCATACTGTTTCCTCTTCAGAATTCTGTGAAGAAAAAATTATAATTTCAAAATAATGATGATGAATGTAAACGAGGTTTATGTTAACAGCTAAATCGCTCCGTATTGAACGCATCACTAACTTACTAACTAACTGACGTTGTCAGCTAGTAGCCAGGTGTTTTACTGGTTATCTCACCAAAAAACTCTTCAGTAAATGTATAAAATAAAACTTCATGGTCAGGAAATTTAAGTTGTGAAACTGAAGTGGAATCAGTGACAAAAGGAGTGCCGACTGCAGCGCTCATATTTGTTTCGCTCTCTAAAACCAGAGTTTTAGTTTAATAGCTGTATGATCGTAAGTGAAGGCTACTTTTTTTATTTATTTTTTTTAATACTTTTTATTTTAGCCAAAGAAAAGGGAAAAAACACTGAGGTGACGTTCACTGCTACTGACAAATACTCTACAGAAACGAATTCCGAAGTTTTTGGAGTTAGTTTTGTAACTAACCTGAAACGGTGGGAGTTACGGTGTTCACATATGCAGATGATACAGCGATGACGTCAGTCTGCGTTTCACCCAAAGATTCTGATTTTTCAAATAACCGAGAAAACTAGCGGTCGTCAGAATTTGAAGTTACTTCTAGTTTTATGCCTTATTATTTAGGTACAGTTATCGTAAACTAAAATTTGCCAATTTTTTTTTTTCGGAGGAAACCAACGTGCGGTGAAACGATTAACATTAACTATTGTATTTCTCTTGTATCGGGAGTATTTGCAGTAAACTGTTTAACTCTGTGTTGATAACCAGGTGAGATTTTCTCTGTTTACCAACAGGAAGTCAGCATTTTTTTCGACACTGCATCATCTCGTGATTTCTCTACACAGATGTGTCAGTCATGACCGTCGGCTGTGAACCGAACCTCAGTTGGGTTTCTTCTTCACGCATCTTATTCTGGTTAAGAGGAAAATAACATGTTTTGGGAATTTCGTTTTGTGTGATTTGTTTTTTTTGACAGGAACTCAAACGAGATTTTGTCGTTTTTAAGAAACGTGTGTTGCATTCATGTGTTCCTGAAGAGTTAAATGAAGGGTTGACTGCGGTGTGTGTGTTTTGGCGTGTTCATGTGTCCAGAGAGCAGCTTTTACCCGTGAGGGTCATCTTCGTGCACGTCGGTGCGACAGTGTTTAACTATCGGAGTAATGAAGAGGATCTATTTCGTGGCAGATATTTTTCTTTTACTGATCACCGGTCGCTGTTTCCATCAAATCTTAAATCATCCATCACTGTTTTTGATTGGTCCTTTTTGTATTTCATTCCTGATGGTGTTTCTTTTACTTTGTTATTCCATAATGATCTCATGCAGGTTTTTTGAAGTCTTGGTTTGACACTGCGTCCTGCAGCACATGTTTGAAGACTTAATTTAAAACAAATAAAGGAACGTATGTTATTAATCTTTTCAGTGTTTTTTTTTTACCTGTATATTGCGTTTCCTCTTGTACTCCATTAATAAGTTTTAGAGTAAATGTAGATTTTTCTCAGCAACTATGAATGTTTTTCAGCCGTTTGGGGCTGATCTGTTTATTTTATATATAAATTCAAATTTAACAGATTTGCACTATTTTAAATTTATCTCTGTCACTTAAAATACACTATAACGTTCACGTACGTATGTTTGTTCTATTTTTAATACTCTATACTTATATATAGAATGCTGTATTCTTCGGCTGTTTCTATTTATAGCGATATTCCAGAAGTTTCCACGTAGGCAATTGGCGCCGAACGTCTTAAAACATCTTCAGAAAACCTGAAGAAATCGAGTTTCTTACTTCTGAAATCTTTAGAAAAATATATAACTACCTTAATAATCGATGATTAAAAACATATATCTTCATAATATTGATTTAATAACACATATAAAATGTTTCCGTAGACATTAACAGGCAGTTTAATATTGTTTAGCTTGAGGCGGAACATTAGCGGCAGCGCTTGGAATTCAACAGGACTCTTTTGAGAGTTGCACCAACGTTTCCCTACGTTACACTTCAGCTCTACATCCTTCGTTCTGCTCCACTGTTGCTCCTTTTATTCGAATGTTGACAGTATAAGCAGCGTGTTTTGTTTTGTTTTTTACTCAAATATGGATGTGTCATAGTCAGTTTCCTGAATAACGAGCTTTTCCGGGAGGTACGTAAGACTTTATTACGTCCGGATTAGACAGTTAGCCTTTTCCATTCATTTCTTCTCTGCTTTTTTCACAGTAAATATTTTCCGTTAACCCAAACCGTATTGGGGTTAATTTAGCGTCATAATTGTTACATCGATATCCATAAATAACTTCCAGTATTCTACAGTCTGAATTTCATCACTTCTCCTTTTCCACTGTGCCGCCTCCGAGGCTGTGTGTTTACGTTAGAGCTTTCATCCAATCAGATTTCAGCATTCAGTTGTTACCAGGGTAAAATAAATATCCCCCCAATTACTGTAGTTAATTTCGCGGGTCTGCAACTGTCATAAAATACTCAATAGATTCAAATACATGAAAGAAAGGTAAATAACTTGTATTTATATTTACATTTTTATGTGTTTTCTTTTACATTAACACTCGAAACACGATTTTAAAGTGATTAAAATTATTAATTGACATCGGTTTAAAAGTTCACCCCTTTGGTAATAATACACTATAGCAATAATATAAAGTACCGCGCGAAGGTTAAGGTGGAAGTATGAGTTTACTGTATTTTTTCCCGAGAATTTAAAGAATTTTTCAACAATATTTTAAATGTTTTCAACAATATTTTACCCACAGAAGACACGTCTTTTTTTTAAGGAAAACATCGCGACCAGGTTGCTTAACCTGCTTAGCCAGGAGACGTTTAATGTCGTCGAGAAGAAGCTGTTTCTCTATTTTGCTTTATTTGTTTAAATATGTAATTCAAATAGTATAGTATAGAGTGTGTAGTAAACCACATAAAACGATAGCAATGAATGTAAATCCATTGCATATGATTGTAGTAGTCAGTAAAGTGACATACAGTACACATGTAAAACAGAATAAAATGGTGTGTCATGACCATTATTATTGAATTGAAATACTTGACCACAGTTATTTATTTTTTACCATTAAAAAACATTACATTGTCACCTGCAACTTTATTATTCATTTGACCAGGAGGGATTGCTATTTGAAAAAAAAAAAGTAATGTAAAATGTAAAAAAAAAGTAAAATCTATCTGTGTTTTGTTTTTTTCAACTTTTCTTTTTATCTCTCTGCTGCTGTGACCTGCATTTTCTCGGGTTGGAAGAATAAAGCCTTATCTAATGAAAAAGAGAAATCTTTTTTTTATATATATTTCTCAGCCGTCTGGACATTGTTAATGAAACTAAATGTTTGTTTATGTGGCAGGAGGTGCAGCGTCAGGAAGCAAGAAAGTTAGAGGACACACAGAGATGGAATTTTGGACCGAGGAGGGAGACGCAAGACTTTTTTTTTTTCAAAAGTACACCAGTAAGTCCTCAAGTCAAATAAATCAGGAATAACATAGAGATTGATTATTCAGAAGGAAGGACAATCTGGGATTGGACTGAACTTTGTGACTCTGCTGAGGACAAAGATGGATTTGACGTAAATGTACAGAGTTGTTTAAAAACATACTGGGAGAAAAATATAGTAGAAATGAATCGTTCAGAACTTCGTAAGTTACTTTTGGTCTCATATCCTCAAAACTTAAATTCACGTTTAAGTTTTTAAGCGGTATAACTTCATACAGCTGATCAACGACCTAAAATCCTAAATCCGCGACGATGCCCAAAATTACTCAGCTTGAGAGACAACGTATAATTTTCATGGACCAACAGAATGTTTCCCAAACGGCTATTAGTCAAAAACTTGGAATATCGCGATGTGGCGTACAGGCAATCATCAAGAAGTTCAAAGAAACGGGGAAACTGGAGGACAGGAAACGAAGCGGCCGACCGAAAAAACTGTCCAAGTCTGATGTGAAGTATCTCAAAGTATCTTTGTCAAGAAACGGAAAGAAATCCAACAAAGTCCTAGCGCAAGAGCTCAGAAATGCATCGGGCCCCTCGGTGCATCCGTCGACCGTCCGACGAAGCCTCATCAGAAATGGACTGAATGGAACGGTTGCGGCTGAAATACCGTCGACTGAGGAGGGGGACGAGGAAGGAAAGGTTCAGACGTGCAACATCAAGCAAGAACCGGACCTCGGTTTGAACAAAAGACGCGGGGAATGACAATCGGTAGAGGAACTGTAGAACGTCCTTCAAGATCTGCTTGGTAAAACCAAACGGGAGACTCTGTATTGATTTGGTGCTGCATTTCAGCAAGTAGTGGAGTTTACCTCCCCCTGTACAGTGACATGATGTAACAGCGTCTGTAAAGGAACATATCGACATTTTGATCGTATTCATGAACCCGCTGAAAGTGACAAACGAACACGGAATCAGGGGGGAAAAAAACAATGGGATATTAACAGCACTGGATTGGTTCCCAAAGACTGGACTTAAACTCTGCCAACGAACTCAACAGCTGTACAGAGAAAAGGAAATGATGTCACTGAGACTCTTTATTGGTTGTTTTTTATTTTGAATTTTATTCAAAATTAGGTGCTCCACAGTGACGTTAATAATGGTCTAATAAATCATGTTCAACTTTGAACTTTAGTTCAAAATATTATTACGTATTTTTACAAAGACAAATGTTCCCCTAATACTAAAAATAGTTACATCGAAAGTAGGTTTTTTTGACGACGTCTTCAAAAAAACCTACTTTGTCCAGTTGCTACAGACATGTTACCCTGATACTTTCTTAAAAGTTTTCGTTGCTTTGAAGACCTTTCCAGTGATTAACTCATGAAATATGCTAATTTTACTTTTATTGACTATTTTCTTTTGCTCTGTTCACTGACAGAATTCTTTTTTCCTGGGGACCCGTATTTTAAAAATTTTAAAAGTCACAAACCTTCGCGACCCACTCCCGGGAAACATGATGCGAGATGACCCAAAAAAAAATCTTGCGACCCAGTCTTTGGGAAACAATGATCATAAACAACACTTATTTTTTAAATAAAAGTCTCTGTTAGCGATAACTCACCAATCCCCAATAAAACAGAGATACAGTAGTATAAAACATTGTTTCCCAACCTTTTTTGAGCGATGGCACATATATATCAGGAAAATATATCATCAGGAAAAAAAAAAAATAAAATATATATATCATATATCATCAGGAAAAACCCCACGACACACCACTGACAAATATCTCACAAAAAATATATAATGAAATATAATAATCTTCTGATTTAAATGACCTCATAATTGACTAAAAACAGTGAAAAACTGGCAGGAATTGAAGAAAGACACTTCTTCAAGATCTTTTGAGTTTTAATAGCCGTCTGCTGCCACCTAGCGGAAGAGGATTGAATTGCTCTGCCGGTCACGCATTGACGAACAAAGAAAAAAATATTTTGCGATAAATAAATAATAGTTTTGGGACCAATTAAGTGACGATGATCTCCCACAGCACATTAGTGGGCCACGGCACAGAGGTTGGGAATCATTGGTGTAGAAGATAGGCGTGTGGACTTAGCCTTTATATGTTTGCTGAAGTTCTTATCTCACGCTCCAGGCTGAGTTCTTGGATGTGGACTCACATTCATATGTACAGTACAGGCTAACAGTGGCTTTGGATGGAGAGTAATGTTCGCAAACCCGCATCTTTAACCTCCGATTATCCGTTTAGCCAAAGAGTAATGGTGCAGCGCTTGTTCCTTCCTCACCTCCGACTCTGAGATTTCAGCTCCCAAATCTGGAATAATTTGTCTGCATGTGTTTTCCTTGCGCGCCGCCTCTCACCTCTCGCTCTCACATGACTCCGCGGTAATGTAGCTGTATTTACTTCCACCGCCTCCGCCTTGACCCGCGTCACTATCTTTGGAATAAACTAGGCACATCTGTTCCTGCTCACCCTCCTCACCTCTCACCCCCTCCTTCGCCCCCCTGCCCCCACATCAGGATAATGTAGATGCATCTATTATTGCAGTAGTGCTGCTGTCGCCGTCCTGCTTTGAGAATAATGTAGCAGCACGTAGCGCCCTCACCCCACCCTCTACCGCTCCTTATCGCAGCCTGGTTGTTGTAGGTGAAGGTTTTCTGTAGTCGCGTTGAAGTATTTGTTGTTTCAGATCATCTGTTTTGCACATAAGCGACGTTTGTCCGTAGCGTCTTCATCGGCCGCTTCAACGTCCTCTAGCGGCGGTGGCGGTGGCTAATTCAGTGTAGGGTCTGAAACACGCACCCCAGCAACAACAGCAGCGGCAGATAACAGTGTTGTTGCAGTGTAACCCGGGGGCTTTTATTTATCATATCTCCAAATGTAGCTGTTGTGCCGTGGTCAGGATACAGTGACCTTAGTTGATCAACAGCCCCCCCTAGG